TACTCTCAATACATCCCAATGGGGGAATTGGATATATGGGAGGTACTCTCAATACACCCCAATATATGGGAGGTACTCTCAATACACCCCGATGGGGGATTTGGATATATGGGAGGTACTCTCAATACATCCTAATGGGGGATTTGGATATATGGGAGGTACTCTCAATACACCCCAATGGGGAATTGGATATATGGGAGGTACTCTCAATATACCCCAATATATGGGAGGTACTGTCAATACACCCCGATGGGGGATTTGGATATATGGGAGGTACTCTCAATACATCCCAATGGGGGATTTGGATATATGGGAGGTACTCTCAATATACCCCAATATATGGGAGGTACTCTCAATACATCCCGATGGGAGATTTGGATATATGGGAGGTACTCTCAATACACCCCAATGGGGGAATTGGATATATGGGAGGTACTCTCAATGCACCCCAAACATTAACATTCCTCGACTTAAGATGACACTGTAAATATTAGGATATGTAAAATATATCACTGTCAAGTTTGTATGATTACATGGTCAATGTTACCGGACAGAACAGACTCATTTATATAAAACCAGATCACATGGCATGAAAGATCAGGCATTATTATATCAATGTTGCAATAGTATGTCTGGTCAATTTTCCTGTTAATAACCACCATGAATCTTGCATCTTGGTTCAGTTGCTTGAACTTCACCTTGATATCTCTAGTGCTGTGTATAATCCCATTGCCTGAATAAATAAAATACAAATGATACTCTAAGAGCAAAGCCTAAATTCAACTGACCCCCAGTATGTTATACAAGGCACTATCAATTCAATAGCTTCTTTCAATTAAATAAAGCTTCTGATAATTTAAACCTTAACCCAATGAAAGTTGAAAGTCCAACAAGTGCCAGCCTTGCTACAAGTTTTATGCCTTAGAATCTTGTGATTAGTATATACACAGGTAATTTATACTGGGCACCATACAAGTTTGAACGAGCATGTACGAGGCTCGTAATTGAACTATTATTCAAGCACGCAAAAGGATGTGGGTCAAAAGTTATGGGTTCTTACGAGCAAGTACGGGACGCATCACTAGACCCGTACAAGGTTGTACAGAGCCTATATAGGGAATGTGGCTTGTATAAGCTTGTACAGGACCTAATGTAATTTGCCTGCAGGCCCGTAGCCCCCCCCCAGCCCAAAAAATCTTTCAATTTTTCACCTTTCTGAGCACTCTATAAGTGATTTTAGCCATATTAGGACCAAAATTGTCACAAGTGAACCCCCCCTGGAATTTTTCAAAAAGTGAACCCCCCTTGGCAAATCCTGGCTACAGGCCTGGCCTGTGTACCAGGCATGTATACTATATGTATATAATTTTCATATTAAATATCCATGTACATTACTTTGTATACTTTTTAAAATAATAACTTTTATTTACAATAAAGAACTCCATGTAACATGCTTACATCTATCAAGTCAAGTGCTGAATTACTATGTTAATTCAAAATATGTTATGTATAATAAAGTAACTGAGGCATAAACTAGGCCACTTTGTCAGCAAAAGACCCATTTGCCACTAGTGTATTAATTATTTGATCTAACAGATCATTTTTTTTTATCTTTTCCACTAAAATATTAATTTTTCTCAGTACCCTGGAGAATTGAAATGCAAACATTATGTCAATTTTTAATTACAGCATTGAAAAGGTATGATACAATTTTGATTGTACTATTTTACATCTTAGAACGCTGATTTACAGTACTAGCACCTTATACTTATGGCCAACTCAACAACCAAAAAAGTTTGTTTCCTTCCCTGATCTGACTAGATAGAGGCTGCGGATTCAGTCTTAAATGATGCAGGATAGATGAATACTGTTGTGCGTAACATGCTAAAATCAGCTTTTTGGCAAATATCTTGAGAACCATTGACTTTTTTAAATACATATGTATTATTGACCCCCTATAATGTGGCCATTCCGGACATTTTGAGTGGTCACACAACCTTCTATGTCCAACGGTTCCGGAGATGCAAAAATGGGGGGGGGGAGTATTCGCGTAAAAAAGGGCGTGGCCATTTGACCTATTTCGCCTTCTGTGGCAAATATGTTACCAAGCCAAAATTGATCAATGACCTTCACATAAATGATTTCTGAAGAGAAAATCTCTGGACATAGAAGTGCATACTCAACCAGCATGAGCTACTAGAGTATATATTCTTTGATATTGTATCATTTTATAGGATGTTTTCCCTACTTCATGGTGACTAGCATTCGATTTAGAAATTAAATTGTTATATCAATTACTGAATAATTCATGAAAAATTATGATAGCATGATGCTAGTACATGGTTGGCAGTTTCATTTTCCAATTAATAATTTTACCCAGACAAAAGTGTTATATACCCTTCATAGACATTTTGTTGAATCTGAATGACAAAGTATCAATCAATGATGTTAATACAGTAATGAAAAATGTTTCAATCATTTATTTTAGAGGTTATTGACAAGCTCTGGTTTTAAGTTAATTCATTAAAGGCCCCATATAATAAGTACACCACTTGGGCTTATATTGTAGTATTTGACCCTATATTATCAAAATGTGATATGTAAAACTTTTTTTTATTTTATTTTCAAAAAATTATGAATTTATCTAAAACTAAATTTTATAATAGAGGTCACTTGCATCTTTGAATAATCGACAATTCAAACCAGTGCATACCATTCACCCACACATATTTTTGTGAAAAAATTGAAGACCCCATTTAATGAAAATTATTTTATCATTCATTTACTAACTTTCATGCCTTTAAAAGTCATTTTAGGGGGAAATAGGTGTCAGATTTTAACTTTTCAAATACTGTATTCAAATTTCCATTTTTCAAATAAAAATTGATACAATTTATTTATGCCTATTTAACACCAATGCAAAAATGCCGTATCTATACCTTAAATCCAATTTAAATATTTCAGCATGTTAAAAATTTGACATCATGATTTACACTAAAATGGTGGCCATTTTGAAATCTCAAAAATCTATATACCTTCTAGTCCCTTTAAACTATTTTCTAAAAGATTTGGGATAACTACAGAAATTGTTGAATTTGGGCACATCTATTAATAGGCATAATGCTATAAGCAAAACATCTGTACCAACACCTAACTGACTAAAACAGGGTTCAGTTACATATATTTCTCGCTGAGTATGAGTACAGTAGTAATATCTAGCAACTGAACGCTGCATTTATGAGTTTACCCTGGACATAATGTTACAAACAATTTATATCACATGATAGAAAATACTGTTTGGAGATGACTAAACAGTGTTAATTGCTGGAATTACACCACAAAATCCGCAAAAACGTTTTAGTGGAAGGCGCTTTACAAAATCGCCATTCTGATTACACCAACATTTCTAAAGCGTCTTAGGAATTATATTTTGGAATTACACCTGTTTTTTCTAAAACGCCTTTCGTGCACTTTTAACGATGTAGTTATGGATAATATCCAGCATACATGTATGTGTAGCCTACATCTCCTGTAAATGTATTCTTTTTGCATCTAAGACAAAACTGATCTTCCATAATTTGATTAAAAATGCATGAGTAACATTATGTGTCGCATAATTTTTATTTATCTTTTATTAATTATGAGAAAACATAATAAAAAGGTAAAAGAAAAATATGTACATATTCTCTAAAGATAACACTTGATTTCGATGTGACCTGGCGACCACCATCCATTTTTCATTTAGATATAAGGTCTTATTTCGTTTATGGCAAATGTTAAAAACTAGTAAAAACCCGGGTAAGGCGTCTTACAAAAACCGATCGGTATTACACTGCACACTTAAAACGCCTAACGACTTATGCCGTTTACTAGTGACAAGGGTTCTTGGAGTTTTAGAAAAGCGCTTTTGTAAAACCGCAATCGTGATTACACCTGATTCTTAAACCTGGTTAAAACCGAAGAAGCTTTTGTAAAATGCCATGTGTAATTCCAGCAAATAACAGAGATTGAAATCCCTTTGAAGTTTCTGCATATAAATTAGAGCTATTAAAATAGTATCTGACCCTAGACTTGGATGAAGAAAATCCCTAGCTCTAAAGTAATGCATACATGCCATCTTTTGTTAGAATTGAATTAAGCATAGGCCTGCATAGATGACCATGATTCAAGACATAATGATATGTAACATCTATAAACTAATACTGGACACTCTTTATAGGACATTCATGGATTGAAAAAATGATAGAATATACTTTGTGTGAACTAATTTCATTTTCTGGCTTGAATTGTGGATGAAAACATTTTAACTGACAGAGGCATGTTAAGAACTGTTTTGAGCGATCCTCAAACATTCATAGTCCTATAATGAGAGACCAGCTACTAAAATGTTACTGGATAACAAGCAGGGTTAAGCAATGTTATCAATACCATTTTCAGTTGTCTCTGTTTCTCTTGAGTGACCTAGTTAAAACAAATGTGTGACATAAAAGAATAATCGTTAACTGTTTTCTTGATATTTCTAATCCAAAATATAATTGACTGTCAATATTATTCCTTATGGAATAACTTCACCCTGGGTAACGGAAGCAAAACAGAATTTAAATCTAAAAATCCCATATTAGGGAAATTCTGTATTGGATTCATTTAAGAAATTCTGTTTTCATTTTTCGTGGAATAAATTGCTCTTGTTATTTATGAGAACAGAATTATTGATTTCATTATTCATAACAATGTGATATTCTCTGCAGTAAATATTACATATTCCTTCAAAATAATATCCATCTTCTTTCCCTTCCATTAAATAACCTCTTTCTAACTGATAATGTAGAGAGCTTGTCACAATGTGCATCACACATCACATTTCATCTAAAATTTTAAAATATGAATTGTCTCGCCAATATCTGATCTTTTTCAATTCATTTGCTTGATGTGGCCAGATAGACTGCACAAGACAATAATATTATTTGTTTATTGTCTTATAAATTAACTTCCAGACTTACCTCTCTGATTCTTTCCTTCTCTGCAGCTAGTGCTCCTTCGTCATGTACATGTACAACCTTTTCCACCACTTCGCTGCCTGCAGCAACAGGTGCAATAGCAGCAACTGGCTTTGCACCTTTCTGAGCAGGTTGGGCAGGAACTAGAATATATATACATGTATCCATATTTACTGTTGACATGACTAATAATTACAGTTTCTTTTAACTGATGACTTTTTTACAAAGATATGAACAAAAAAACAATGTAACATTCATTATTATCTATGCAAAAGATTGTACTGGCAAAAAACGCTAAAAGCATACAATCATACTTAAAGGTGCAACAATTAGTGCAGGGGGCCATTCAACGATCATCGACCAGTGTCAAAATAGAAAAAAGTTTGGATATTTCATCAAGACTAAGTTTAGATATATTTTTATTTTCTCCAGAGAAACCCCTTGGATGAACATTATTTCAGCTGATATTCCTCTTGAAACGTGATGGATGTTAAAAATGGGACTCCCTTTGTAGAAGCTTTGAACTGCATTTACACTTCTTAATGCTGAAATTGATAGTTTATCCATACATTTTAAGAAAATAGGTATGTCAAAGAAGATGTTAAGACAAATATTGACCTGACAGCTCAGAAAAAATAAAAAATTTCGAATTTTCTCTCTTGCAGTCCTTGTTGCCCCTTTAAGAGGCAAAGAAAATTTTGTTGATTTAAAAATTCCAAAAAAAGTTGTTAAATATAGTTTCTCCCCCTTTTTCACCTGAATCATTCCCTTCCAGTTCCGTTTGCTTTAATGTTTGACACAATATGAACATAAAAAAACGATGAATAAATGTGAATAAAGTACTCACCATCAAATCCTCCCTCAGGGATGGGGACCTGCCCCATCAACATGGCCTTCAATTTCTGAATCTCTTCCTGATATTCTCTCAGCAGTGCATCTTTGGGGTCCTCATTCACTTTAGGCTTATTCTTGATGTTCTTTGCTCTGTTAGCATACCTACAAAATAAATATGCAAATATGAGCTACATAAGCATGGGGTCCTCATTCACTTTAGGTTTGTTCTTGATGTTCTTTGCTCTGTTAGCATACCTACAAAATAAATATGCAAATATGAGCTACATAAGCATGGGGTCCTCATTCACTTTAGGTTTGTTCTTGATGTTCTTTGCTCTGTTAGCATACCTACAAAATAAATATGCAAATATGAGCTACATAAGCATGGGGTCCTCATTCACTTTAGGCTTATTCTTGATATTCTTTGCTCTGTTAGCATACCTACAAAATACATATCCATATTATGTGCTATGCACGCTTGGAGTCTTCGTTCACTTTTTTAAACTAATGCTATTTATCTTTTATTATTTTCTGTTTAAGGTTATTACCTAAGAGTGCTGAGCGTTTCATCGTAGTTATTATCAGCAGGGGAGAGGCACGCAACCATGAGGGTCTTGGTGTTACCCCCCAGGGAATCTTGCAACAATCTGGTCAATTTTGAGTCACGGTATGGTATATGTTTGGACTTGCCATCCACCAAAGCAGAGATTACATTACCCAAGGCTGATAAGGACAGATTAATTTTCGTTGCCTCTTTAAGTCTGTCTCCAGTTGCACCTTAAATTCACATTATACACATTTAATTATTAGTTAATAGTACAAAAATTTCCAGTAATCTAATTGGAATGATGACACAATCACAAGCAATATGGCAATATGTGATGCTTGAAGACCATAATCATGAATGTTAAAATTTACCAATCTATCCTTGCTTAATTCAACAATTAGCATAACATGTACATGGAGTGAAATATGATTCATTTCCATACCTGTTTTACCCTGCCTCTCACTTCCAGCCAAATCTACAAGATTCAATTTTCCTGCTTTTATCTTCTCTTCACCATTTTCCAGGGTGGTCGCCATCTCAATGTTAATAGTGAATATAGAGTGACTACGTGAGGAGTCTGCATTCATCAGAGTTGCCCCAACTGATCTATTCTTCCAACCTCTATCCATAACAGTATTACAATCACTGACATTGTGCACTGTATGCATAGACAAACCTGTAGAAGAACATGGAGAAGTAAATCAAATACAGGATATTTTGAGTGTTTGTGTAAAAAAATTCTTCTAAAAGCTAAAAGAAACAAAACTCTAGTCTGAACTTCATGAATTCATGCTTGTCGAAAGAAGAAGGTATGGTGGGTTCAATTTTAACTTCAAAAGCCAAAAAACAAGGTTAGAATTTTCCTTGGAAAACATTGCCCAAAATGCTTTGCTTAACTCTATGCTTGCTCAGGAATACATGTACAATAAAATGACATTATGCATAAGCCTCATTTTGAAACACATGGTTATACTACCTACCTTGCACATAAATTCCCTTTTCAGGGTGCTCCTTTAGATCCAACTTTGATTTGGCATCCTTCCCTAAGAGATCTCTTACATCCTCATTATAAATTTCAAGGTAGGATGCATGTACTAAATACTTCTGTCCCTCTGATACTGAGATTGTCTCAAATATATGGTCAAATGCTCTACAAAAGAAAACAGATACATGTATATCATGGTCAAATGCTCTACAAAAGAAAACAGATACATGTATATCATGGTCAAATGCTCTACAACAGAAAACAGATATATCATGGTCAAATGCTCTACGCTATAAGTAATTGAATGATTTGAAGTGCAATACAGGATATACTAGTATTCTGCTCGAGAAATTCTGTATTGGAACGAGACAAAGTCTAAGGCAGAGCCAGGAACAAATATCAGGCAAGGCAAATGTAAATACATGTAATAGTACTGTATTGGTGAGGCTAAAAGAGGCAATACTACACCTTTGGACAATTTTAATTTTTAAAAAATCAGAATGAATATATTTCTTTAAAATTTTGGTGAGGCACTCACCTCACCTGCATCTCAACTTGTGTTCAGAATTAAGTGCAGATTTAAGACAATATAAACAACACTACTGTATCTACAGTCCCGTAGGCAGGGTGTTCGATGGGTTCGAGCAAACCCTCCCCCCCCCTGACCAAAAAATCCTTCAAATTCATGCAGTTTTTCAACATTCTGAGTACTTTTTAAGTGATTTGGGCCATTTTTGGACCAAAAATTGTCACAAGTGAACCCCCCTGGAACTTTTCAAAAAGTGAACCCCCCTTGGCAAATCCTGGCTATGGGCCTGATCTAGGTATGATTATTTGTAATGGTATGATTATCACCTTGGAATGATTCCTCTCTGCGTAGCTGGGTCAGTGATCCCTTGCATACTGAACGACTTGCCGCATCCTGTCTGGCCATACGCAAATATGGTGCCATTGTAGCCTTCTGTTACACTCTGGAAAAATATTTTATGCAATTTAAATATTACCTGATATTAGTGAAATGGACCACCGTTCGGCAATGAGTGGACTCAAATTATTTCAAAATCATGCAATTTTTCACCATTCTTAAGCACTTTTCAAGTGATTTTGGGCCTAAATGGTCAAATATGCACATCCTGTAATTTTTTAAAAAGCTAATCCCTCTTTGGCGAAACCTGGCTACTGCTAAACTGGCCTGGGTATGCACTTATCAGGAGTGAACACTTAAAGTGTCTCACATATTCGATCAAAACTTGCCATGCAAACATGTTAGTCTACTTTACTGGCCCCCCTTGCTGTAACAAGGAACCCAAAACACATTAAAACGTAAACATAAACCAATTAGTCACTTCACTATAAAAGTGGGGGTGTTAGCAGAATACGCTGTGTGCATGGACTAACACAATATCAGTGGTCATTTACTGTGTCAACTTAGTAACCCTTGCATATCGTGCTCACTCAAGTATTGAATAATTTTTTTATGATCTAAATGTTTGTGGTTTATAAAAAATGTGATATATTTTAGTTAGAAATACATTAATTAATATATTCATTCAAACAGCACTAGAATGCGGGAAGAAAGAGCAATGGTGACAAAATGCAGACAGAATTTTCCGTAAGGGTTTCAAACATTTCTGGACACAATCATACATGTACTTCATGTGTACTGTTATTTTTAGTGCTGTATTTATAGATATAATTTCACGTATTAAAATCATATTTTCCAGTAATGACTTCAAATTCGGAACCACACCCATATCACATTTTCTTCAATAACTCCAAACATGTGTAAACATTGACCATATGCAAAAAAATTCAGATTTCATGAGCTTTTTCCTATTCGAGTACCTCATACACCCCTGCATGGATTTGAGTTGGATTCGCCTTTTATACGTGAGCCGGTACACATCGCAAACGCTGATTGGATAAAGATTGCGAGAATCTTTAAGGCAAGTACAGTATATATCATATGTTCATACAAACACAACTGTCAGTGAAATAAAAACTTCAAGTTAATCATCTTAGGAGGAACCCTGACTTATCATATGATGAAATATTTCTTACCTCTACAAGTGAGTATCCTACATCAGCATAGATTTGTTCAGTAGTTGAGTCAGTGAAATAAGCTCCATCAAAAGTGAATGATTTTGGGACCTGGTTCTTTGGGTCACATAGATTAGTGATAGTGCACTGGCCAACTTTACCATCCATTTTCACTGCAGTTTTGCAGTTCAGGTCCTTTTCTCGACGGTTCAATGGCCGGCATCTCACGATAACCTTGACTGCTTCTGCCATCTTTGCTGAAAATGCAAAATTTTAAATTTCAAATTAAACTGAACTTTGAGTTAATTATTTGACCATCTGAAGAAAGGATCCATTCATGAAACTGCTTACTGAGAAGTGTTTAAGCTTACCGCCAGATTCAAGGGGATCCTTTCCCCGAACCATGATTGTATATCGATGGTACTGTGTGATGCTCTGGCCCAGTGTATGAACGTAGAAAATAAGATATGTCTGAGCATTAATAATTCAATGCATCGCTTTTTCATGGTTGCTATAATATCAATTATTCAATTAATCCTTTCTTTTCTTTGCACAAAATCACTAATCAGATAGAACGATTTACATCATGTCATGATTTGATACAAAACGTAAATAATTGATATAGATACAAATCCCTAAGATAAACATTCTACTCTCTCATACATGTACAAGTACTGTGTAGTCTTGTCTAATAATTCAAACAGCCAATTAGGAATTATCTCAAGCTATGCACTTGTATTTGATTTCAAAGTCTATATATAACATGACAGATCGGTGTTCCAAGGCTAATCTCTTGGTTGGTTATACATTTTTAAGACTAACGAGCTGCGCTACATGGTCCTTGTTTAAAGGACATGTAAATGTACTCATTGCCAAACCTGTATTTATCTGAATAAAAATGGTAGAATGGATTATATAAACATCATGGTAAGGCCAACAATACACTTGTGATTACAGATTGCGGATCTAATTGTCACCGGATAGACAGTAGATGCCATCGTAGTAATGATTATCCTGTACTGATGATTCTTAAATAAAAATAAGGCTCCATCCCTGGTTAGTTTCTACTTGCTTCAAGTACCTATGTATCTCAAATGATGCCAATTGACAAAAGGCTACAATAAAATCAAGGGGGGTTGTTATGAGAGAATCCATTTTATAAAATCGTTGTAGTTTACCGTTAGATCTACTCCATTGTCACAATTATTATAGATCAATAGTATACATTTATAAAACAATGTCAGCATATGCATGAAAATAGACTAGTCTAGTGTTGTTATAGCCTAAAAAGATAGACAAAATAACCTAAGCATACATCGAGGCTAAAAATGTCAAAATAGATCTAGGCCTAGGCTAAAAATGATTAAAATCATCTGAAATGTCTGGTTGCTATGTAAACAACCTAGATTATTCTTCAGATATGTACCTTTGAGCAGTTGAAGGTTCTTAGAATGGGCGGAATATGTTAGCACATAATGTAGGTTTAATTATTTGATCAGCTACATGTTTAATGACTGGTCGCAAAGCGTTAAAAAGGGAATATTTTTCAAGCAAATATTTTTCGGAAAATATTTTAAGGCTTTAATGCGCATGCGCTTATAAAGTGTCTCAAAAGTATTCTTTTTTGCAAATATTTCTTTGGTTATTTGTAAAAGGTATTTCTATAAAAACATTTATTATGCGAGTTATTTTTATTTTTACATTGATAAAACAAATACTTTTGGCCCTTCCTAGTCCATATTTATTTTTTCAAAGCCCATACTATATTGTAAAATTTTGGAAAAATAAGTAGCATAAAATAATTACGAGAAATCCTGTTACACTTAACGAAACATTCACATAAGTCCCACCTAATTCCCCCACGTCTCCGACTATATCTGTTTTGAAATGTGTCATCATTAGGGAAGAGTGATGTAAGAAATACAAAACAACATTTTAAAAAGTAGAATATCAAACTTATTTTGTAGAAAATAGCAAATATTTATATTCCCGGGAATATAAATTCGCGCCAATATTCAAGTCAACTTCCGGTGAAAAAATATAAAAAGTAAGTTTTTCTTTCTTCTCAACTTTCTTAACTTTACGTTTGAATCATGCCACATGGAATAATGCTACAATCTGAATGAATTGCTTAGTAAGTCTATCGAGGTTACACGATGATTAAACGATAGAGTCTAGTCTTGCAGGCAATCAAAAATTATAAACTCATTTCATCCGAATCCCAATCATTGGGCACTGAACATAGCTACAGTGCTGGTATATATTAATTGATCAGTCGTTTAATTGGCATATTTTCTTGAATTTTAACATTTAATGTCCCAAACTCCCACAAACTGCAGAAAAGTATACCCCATAAATCATATTTACCAAAATGAGTGTCTCCAAGGCTTCACACCAGCGTATGCATAATGCATTTTTCACGAGTTTGAGCTGAAATTTCGCCAAAATGAAGTAGGCTAAGGGTAGTCTCTGCCAGGTTTGTTTATTGTGGTAAGCTTGTAAGTGCTCGGAAGCAAATAATTCACGTGCGCAAAATAATCAAATAATCTAATTGGTCTAAACTTTGCTGCACATGCGCACAATGTGTGCTATGTTTTTTCTAGTGATTTCGTTTCGTTTCATGGAGTTTGCGTTTCAGTGTAACTTCCGCAAAAATGGCCGACCATGGACAGAATTAACAGGTAAAATCACTTCGAAATTTCAAGAGAACTTTTTACCTATAATTGCAAAACTTTTGTTTTATTTGTGCATTCTATCTATCAGATAAGAGTTTCAGGGGTATGTATAGGCAAATTCATTTTGGTAGGAACACTTTATTTAGTTTGAAAACGCACCCTATATTATTATATATCAGCACTGTAGCTCAAAAGCCAGCTGACTGGTTGTACTAAATACCACCTAGGTGCCCCACACCTAGGTATCCCTATTGAAATGCCTTACTGGCATATTTTACTACTTGTGTAAATATTTCTGTTTGCTTATGATATTTTTAATTGTCTTGAAAATTTTGATCGATGTCGAAAAAGTCATTTGTAAGAATAATATTTCATTATTTGCTCACTATGAAATGCTACAAAGTCACTATTTTAGCAACTTAAGTAAGAACAATATATATATTTCAAATATAAATGCACACTTTAGCATAAATGGTGTTTTATTACTACAAATAAGTAACCATACATATGAGCAAAATTTTCCAGGTGCCCATTTTTCTAACACAATAAAACGTTTTACATTTTATTTTCGAATCTTCTTTGCTATATCCTCGACTACAAATTATCATTTCAAGCCTATTAATGTCAAGTTAATATGACAAAGGAGATATAACTATATTTAAAATGTGTACGTGGTTTAAAATGGAATTAGAAATCCAGGTGCCCAAGGGGACACCTAGGGCGAAGGGGTGTAACGTCGACACCGTTTTAGGGTAACTTCGACATGTGGGGTAACTTCGACACCTTGTTGTTTATTTGCTCTAATTTCCGATCTAGGGGGAAGCCATGTTTTTTTTCTCGCATGGATCGAGATCTTGCGAGATTTTAATTTTTCCAGAAATCAAACATGGCGGAAAACGGAAATTCTACTTCTAATACGTAAGTGTCGAAGTTACCCCGTCCATTATGTCGACATTACCCCACACGTCGACATTACACCCCTTCGCCCTAGGTGGTATTTAGTAACACCCCAGCTGACGAACCGTTAAAATATACCGTCTTGTGAAGTGGTTTTCTCCAACTTCCAGCAGGCGCGCTGGAATAAGAAACGGTATTTATAAGATAATTGAATGTAACTTGCCCTTTTCGTGACGCGTGGTGACAATAAGTCATGCTTGTTGTGTAATTGCAGTTAGGTAACTTAAAGTGGGGGACAAAAATAAAACTCTACCCTCTTAAGTTGTCACAATGAGCTAAATTCTAAGTTTCGTGTCTCAAACTCTTTCAAGTGGTAGAAAAATAATTCCCATTCACTTTAAGTAGCACAATAAATGAATCCAAAGCTTCATACCTGCAAATGATGGATGAAATCCCTACCAAATCGAACGAATGTTTTCATGAATCGCCATGTTTGTGATCCAAAGAGGATTGACTCCCAGAATGCAACATCAGGTAACCTTATTTACTCGTGACAGATTTCAAGATGGCGGAATGGCATTTTGAAAGGTGACACGTGTCATGTTGCATTCTGGGAGCCAATCCACATTGGCGACGTAATCAGGCTCCAAAATCACCTCAACATTTGAAGAGTCGGCATTAACATGTGAATGTCCACTTCAAGTTTTTAAGTTCTTATTTGTCATTATGGACACGAATTTCACTATATCTGGACTTACTAGGACGGAGAAAATAGAGCACTGAATACACTGAGGTAAGAATTTATTACATTTGCGACAGCATGTAATTTCCATAGCTTTTGTAAATCTTTATGTCCCCCACTGTATAACTTAATCAAAAATCCAAGATGGCTGTAACCAGGAAGCACATGGCATTTGAGTATAATCTGACCATCAAATTTGCTCTCTTTTGGTTGGATTTTCTCTCAATTTTTTAGTTCCACTTATCATTTATATAACCAGGCTCACTGTGGCAATGCAAATAGAAACAGTAAACATTTTGGAATGGGAATTTGAGTCCTCTGAAAATGTGACAGAAAAATTGACAAAAAGAGTAGCACGGCAAACGTCCCTGAACATTTTTTTTTCTAATTTCTCTGAAGCATCCCTTTAATATAGCCCAAAATGGAAGGAGCTTTAGAATTTTGAAATCTCTCATACAAATCAAAAAAAATAGAAAAAACAATTTGAGAAGTGTACTTTTTTCCTTATTTTGATCCCAATTTTTTTATCGGGTAATTTTTTAAATTTCCGTTGCTCCTTCGTTTTTGATATATGTTTGAAGTATATTTTCTGAAATGTTCAGATATTTTGAATCAGCGGTTTTTCACGGGCTACTCCTAGGAAAAAATCTTCTCAAATTCTTTAAACGCAACTTTTTTTCTCAAACTAAAGTTTTTTGTTGTTCTTTGATGTCTTTGTAATGATTAGAGTGCACAAATAATAAAAACAACTTCTCAGGAAGAGTTTGAAAATTTCAAGATTGTGAAATTTTCAATTTTTTCCGAAAATCGATTAAGTTAACAGTCACCTTAAAGTGGAGAAATTCCACAACTGGCGCGCACCATTTTTGAACTTTTTGCGCATGCGTGCACATGCGCATTGTACTTTTTATGCCCATGGGTATTACCATAGGCCAAGGGTAAAGTGATAGTAAGCCGTATATAGAAGAGACAGGTGAACAAGTCTGACTTAGACCACTTGTTAAGATGGAGATTTCAACAATATTTACAAGCCTCGAAACTCGCGTTGCTATGGTAGTTAATAACTACCTGATTTTAAAGAAAAGCTACCTATTATTTTACCCAGTAGTTATTTTGGCCACCCACACTCTTAGATTGAGCCAAGTATTGCATGATTTGAATCAATTTTTAACAATTTTGCAAAGGGTTACTCAGTTACACTTGCACTTTACATAGTTCAACTTATATGAGAATACCCCTGGCCCTGTACATGTATAAATCAATTTTATCCTTCACTTGTTTTAAGGAAAGGGGAATACCCCAGAATTTATAGATGCACACTTCTCTGACGTAAACTAGATCATTGATTGGCCAAGGGGGGTTCATCTGGGGTCATGGGAAAGTACCTCTTCTTTGTCTTAGTGTGAAAAAATCTGATCAGTGAAAATTAAATTCAAATCTGTCAATCAACTCATAAACAAAACCTCCCAGCTCTGACGTTTGACCAATCAGAAAGCATTTCAATGTAAACAACCTAGTATGTGAAGTGTGCCCAGAGTCAGCCAACAACCAATCAAATCATGTATATTGCTGTCATACTAAAACAATGCTTTACAGCTAATTATCCCAACAAACGAAGTTCGGTAGGGATATAGTGAAGCCCTCCGTCCGTCAGTCCGTCAGTCTGTCAGTCCGTCAGTCAGTCAGTCTGTCCGTCCGTCCGTCCGGAAGATAACTCAAATATAAGTAGACGGATTTTCTTCATATTTTGGCGGAAAGATGAATATTGATGAATAGTTTTACGCAAAAAAAAAAATTTTCAAGATGGCCGCCGCTTTAAAAATGACGGGACTTTTTCGCAAAAATCATAAATTTTTCATTCTAAACCAAAGTAATTAATATTATTGTTTGAAATTTTGGTAGTATATTCGCAACATCTATCTTTTTCACATATATGCTGTGTTTTTCATCCTGACCCCCAGGGGCCGTGTATGGGGGGTCAGGAAAACAGAAATTTTCGCTAATTTTTAGATCTTTCTGAAGTATAGCTTTATTATACTCAAATGAAAGGCAATTAAGAGTAGATTGCAAATATTTGTATCTTTTTTCTGATTCGAGCCTCGTAAAATTCAAAATGGCCGTCTAATGTACGATTTCGCAATCATTTTTCGATCCCTTCAAAGTATGGCTATATTATACTCAAATTGAAGGAATTTTGGAGTAGATCACAATTATGCTATTATTTTTCAGATTTGTACCTCAGAAAATTCAAAATGGCTGCTTTGCAGGAATTCGCAATTCTAAAATCTAAATTTTTCAATTTTAACCAGAGTAATGAGTATAATTGATTGGAATTCGGTAATTGATATTTTGTTCGTTGGGATTTGCTACTCCGCGGAGTTGCCATTATCTAGTTATAAATAATACCGATCTCAAACATGGAATTTAAACTTCAAATTATAAAAACTTGAAATCCCTATGATGTTTTATTGGATCTATCTTCCCAATTAAATGTGCATTTAGAAGTCAGTAGTAGCATCAAGCCATCAAGTCCTATGCTTACTATAATCTAGGGATTACTGAACACATTTGGCTCAAATCTGCCAGGACGGAAGAGTTATATAGAGATCTGCATCATTCCATATGTGTCCATTGGCAATTTGTACCTTAGGGAAACCCCTGGTCAGGGGAGTTTCACTAGAATAGTGAAAATAATGAAAACAACAGGCAAAATCAATGGAAATCATTTAGTTAACATGGAATATTTGAAACGTCCCTGAATGCTAATGAAACCCTTTAAATGAAATACATGTAGGTACACCCCCTCCAAAAAGTTTGTAAACAATTGCAATCTAGTTTCAGTCCCCTCCAACATAATATACTGTATAATGGTTATATGCGCACTCCCCTCCAAAAGTTTTTTAGAACAATTTTAATAGGTAAATTCCCCTCCCAAAAGTTTGGAAACAATTGTATTAGGAATACTACCCTCTAAAAGTATGGAAACAGTTATAAAGGAACACTCCCCTAAAAAGTTTGGAAAGAAATGTAGTAGGTACACTCCCTCCAAAAGTTTGGAAACAATTGTAATAGGTGCACACCTTTCAAAATTTTTAAACAATTGCAATAGGCACAGCCTCTTCCAACATAATACGATGTATACCTGCTTAAGGTGCACTACCCTCCAATAGCTTTTAAACTCTCCAAATTTTTGGATATTGGAATGTTGGAAGTTATGCATTAATTTGAGAGAATTTCAATGCAGTGAGTCAAATTTTTCATAAATGTGCGCATCAGTGCATTATTAGCCTACATTGGCACAAGATAAACATTATATGCTGGGTATATGTTATTTTTGAAATTTTATAACATCATTTTATATACAACTACCTGACAGAAGCAAATAACTTCCTGAAAATTGGACAGGTAGTTATTTTGGCACCAGGCAAAAAATGTGAGTGTCGAGGCCTGTAGTGTGAACCTACACCACTATGTTGGCCCTTTCCCTTATATTGCATATGCATACTGAATTTCATACCTTTTATCTCAGGCACATGTTGAACCTATTCTGAACCTACACCACTATGTTGGCCCTTTTCCTTATATTGCATATGCATACTGAATTTCATACCTTTTATCTCAGGCACATGTTGAACCTATTGTGAACCTACACCACTATGTTGGCCCTTTTCCTTATATTGCATATGCAATGAATTTCATACCTTTTATTTCAGGCACATGTTGAACCTATTCTGAACCTACACCACTATGTTGGCCCTTTACCTTATATTGCATATGCATACTGTATTTCATACCTTTTATCTCAGGCACATGTTGAACCTATTGTGAACCTACACCACTATGTTGGCCCTTTTCCTTATATTGCATATGCATACTGAATTTCATACCTTTTATTTCAGGCACATGTTGAACCTATTCTGAACCTACACCACTATGTTGGCCCTTTTCCTTATATTGCATATGCATACTGAATTTCATACCTTTTATCTCAGGCACATGTTGAACCTATTGTGAACCTACACCACTATGTTGGCCATTTCCCTTATATTGCATATGCATACTGAATTTCATACCTTTTATTTCAGGCACATGTTGAGCCTATTCTGAACCTACACCACTATGTTGGCCCTTTTCCTTATATTGCATATGCATTCTGAATTTCATACCTTTTATCTCAGGCACATGTTGAACCTATTGTGAACCTACACCACTATGTTGACTCTTTCCCTTATATTGCATATGCATACTGAATTTCATACCTTTTATTTCAGGCACATGTTAAGCTATGGCTGAACGACCTGAAGATCTCAACCTACCCAATGCAATTATAGCTAGAATAGTCAAAGAATCGGTGAGTTCGTAAACTTTATGGAACAATTGGACACTTCATAGTTTAAGTTGCTGCTTAGCACCATTTTTATTGCACTTTGAAAAAGTGCTATATTGTCGTCGTCTTGTGCTGTTGGGCGGGCGGCACATAAACCAAATCTTGTCATCAAATTTCCAGGATAACTGCTTACCTGTTCAACTTGAAATTTTTACAGATGCAAGAGCAGACTAGTACCAAGATCTGATTAGGTTAAGGGCATGCTGGGTAAACTATGTGGCGGCCATTTTGAATTTTTCAACAAATCTTGTCATCAAAATTCCAGGAAAACCACTTATCCGTTCAACTTGAAATTTTTACAGATGCAAGAGCAGACTATTGCCAAGATCTGATTAGGTTTTGGGTATGCTGGCTGAATTACATGGTGGCCATTTTGATTTTTTCAGATTTGACCTTTCGTTCACCTTCAGTGACCTTGAAAAGGTCAAAAAAGTTGATTTTCTAAATTGATATTTTGGATTTAAATTTAGGTCAGCTTAATTACAAAACACCAACTGAGGACTGAAAAAGTGAAATTTTCAAGATCGAAGGTCAAGGTCATTAAACTAGGTCACAGATTTGACCTTGCATTCACCTTCAGTGACCTTGAAAAGGTCAAAAAAGTTGATTTTCTAAATTGATATTTTGGATTTAAATTTAGGTCAGCTTAATTACAAAACACCTACTGAGGTCTGAAAAAGTGAAATTTTCAAGGTCAAGATCATTAAACTAGGTCACAAATGATGTTATCCAAGTTTCTCAAAGTTTGAGACTACAAATCAATTCTTGTCATCAAAATTCCAAGAAAACCGCTAACCTTGTCAACTTGAAATTTTTACACATGCAATAGCAGACTAGTGCCAAGATCTGATTAGGTTTAGGGCATGTTTGGTAAACTACGTGGCGGCCATTTTGAATTTTTCAACAAATCTTGTCATCAAAATTCCAGGAAAACCACTTATCCGTTCAACTTGAAATCTTTACAGATGCAAGAGCAGACTATTGCCAAGATCTGATTAGGTTTTGGGTATGCTGGCTGAATTACATGGTGGCCATTTTGAATTTTTTAATTTGGCTGCCATTTTGAATTTCAACTTGCTTCAAATTGACCAAATTGTTTTTTTAAAAACATCCACAAGTTCTCAGAAGTTCAAATCTGACCTTAGATTTCAGATTTGACCTTTCGTTGACCTTCAGTGACCTTGAAAAGGTCAAAAATTTGATTTTCTAATTTGATATTTTGGATTTAAATTTAGGTCAGCTTAATTACAAAACAACTATGTACTGAGGTCTGAAAAAGTGAAATTTTCAAGGTCAAGATCATTAAACTAGGTCACAAATGATGTTATCCAAGTTTCTCAAAGTTTGAGACTACAAATCAATTCTTGTCATCAAAATTCCAAGAAAACCGCTAACTTGTTCAACTTGAAATTTTTACACATGCAAAAGCAGACTAGTGCCAAGATCTGATTAGGTTAAGGGCATGCTGGGTAAACTATGTGGCGGCCATTTCGAATTTTTCAACAAATCTTGTCATCAAAATTCCAGGAAAACCACTTATCCGTTCAACTTGAAATTTTTACAGATGCAAGAGCAGACTATTGCCAAGATCTGATTAGGTTTTGGGTATGCTGGCTGAATTACATGGTGGCCATTTTGAATTTTTCAATTTGGCGGCCATTTCGAATTTTTCAACTTGCTCCAAATTGACCAAATTTTTTTTTAAAAACATCTACAAGTTCTCAGAAGTTCAAATCTGACCTTAGATTTCAGATTTGACCTTTCGTTGACCTTCAGTGACCTTGAAAAGGTCAAAAATTTGATTTTCTAAATTGATATTTTCAATTTAAATTTAGGTCAGCTTAATTACAAAACACCTACTGAGGTCTGAAAAAGTGAAATTTTCAAGGTCGAAGGTCATCAAATTAGGTCACAAACAATGTTATCTAAATTTTCCCAAAGTTCAAGACTACAAATAAATTCTTGTCATCAAAATTGCAGGAAAACCACTAACCTTGTCAACTTGAAATGTTTACAGATGCAAGAGCAGACTAGTGCCAAGGTCTGATTAGGTTTTGGCCATGCTGGGTAAATTGCATGGTGGCCAGTTTGCTCTTCAAAGTGCGATATTTATCACTGTGTGTCTTGTTCTAGCTTACGTTTAAAAGCTAAAGCAGTATTATAGTAGAGCATCAGCATCAAGGTTTGGTTTTGAGGGTGATATGTTTGATTGCCACACTATTGAATATCATGGCTATTTCTCCTCTCGCCTCTTATACTATACTATGAGTGCTTAGCATTGTTAGGCACCCTCGGGTCATTATGAAAATTGTCTTATCACAATTTCAAATATTTTTGACCAGAATAATGGATAGGTCTGATTCGATGATCTGATGAGAATTGCTTGTCTTTTCAGTTACCAGATGGAGTAGCAGTTTCTAAGGATGCCAAGCTAGCCATATCTAAAGCTGCCAGTGTGTTTGTACTTTATGCCACTTCTTGGTAAGCATATTTGGTGTTCCAGTGAAACCTGTCTTAGTGAACACCTCTCGAGTGACCCTCTCTAGTGAACACACATCAATAGTAACTGCCTCATTCTAGTGAACATCTATTTCTAGAGAATGGATGTCAATAGTTAATACCTCATTTTAATGAACACCTCTTTCGAGTGAACACCTCTCTAGTGAACACCAGTCCCTATTAAAAAGATGAGAATATTGATTGGATTCAATATACTCTGGTATTGTCAAATTGTCTTGTTATAATATCATATGTACTCCATTGATTTAATTATCCTTGAGTGCTATATTGTAATCAGTTTACTTGACAAGCAGGCAGCCAGGTGTCCCGATTAATCTTTTTATATCCAAATTTACTCTTCTAATCCTATGAGATGACTGCAGTAAACTGTCCTCAAACACATTAAATGATACACCTTGTGTTATTTGTTGTTCCAGTGCTAATAACTATGCCATGAAAGCAAAGAGAAAGACCTTAAATGCTCAAGATGTGATCAGTGCCATGGATGATATGGAATTCAGTCGACTAATCCAGCCTATGGAAGAATGTCTGCAAGGTATGTGTTTTCATTTTTATCTGTATTTCTTGTACCAATATCATAGTACATCATAATATCCATATCATAGTACTGTTCATCCTAGTACCAATATCATATTACTGTACATCATAGTTCCAATATCACAGTACTCTACATCCCAGTACCAATATCATAGTACTGTGTATCCTAGTACCAATATTATAGTGCCAGTTACAAGTTATTGTTGGAACTGAAAGATATGAAGCACTGACTGACTGAGATCATAAGTAATCCAGGTATCTATTCTCTGAAATAATTATTTGATAAAGGAACAATACAAGATGATAAATTCACTGCAAACAAAGGTATAATTGTAATTTACTATCAATTGTGCTACCCCTTAGACCAATAGTTTTGCATTTGTGTTTGCTACAGCTACATATATGATCACATCAAATTTTGAGAGCATATTATGTGACACGCTATACATACGAAGATCATGTTCATAACTGTGCTCTTTGAATTGTAGCTTACCGTAAAGAACAAAAGGGGAAGAAAGAAGCAGCTGAGAGTAGGAAGAAAGCACGAGAAGCTGAGGGTGGGGAGGACAATGATGATGGTGAGGATGAGAAAGAGGAGGAGGTGAATGGTGAGGAGGACACTGCAAATAAAGATGGTTCAGGGGATTAGTGTTCTTGAATGGTAGGATAACCACACATGAATCTATTATATAGCCACTCATGGTTTGGCTATATAGCCAGCCACTCATGGATTGGTTCATAGCCATATATGGATTGTTGAATTTAGAAGATACAGAAAAATACATTAAGATGTATAACTAAACATGGATTATAAGTAAAATTCAAGTTCAGCAAATCACACCAATAATTATGGATTGGAATGGGACCCATCATAGTATAAGGCTGGTTGACCTAATATGTCATTATTGTTACTTATCTACAGTATTTACTAAAAAATATAAGCTGGTCCAGATCTATGTGTCATCCTGACTGGAAAAGAAATTGATATGCCAAGCAAGTTCTTGTATGTACAATGTTGAATGGAACATCCAGCCTACTATCTCAGGATTTTAGTTCACTCATAATGATGTTAATGGTGTCAGCATATTAGGAAAATACTCAACGTGCTGAAAGTATGTTAATTGATAAAAAAGAGAATCCAAGCAATAATTTGTTGTTATTGCAAATAGATGGCATTCAGTGGAAAGTTGTCTAAATGTTAAATCTAGGTGGTGGAGGTATTTGTAAAATAGATGGCAGTAAATAAGCTGTTTGATATATCTACGGAGACCAATTCAGTATATGTTATGTATGTCAATTGTGCCTGTATGGGAATTGTTCTGTATCCGCACTGTCGTTAAAAGTCACACTGATCCTAATTTGTCCCATTTTGAAATAATAATGTTGAATTTTTAGATGTTAATCTGGTTAGGTCAGAGCATCTTCGATAACCAAGGTGGTTATATTGAAAATAAACTTTTTAGCGAGTATGACGTCAGAGTCTGTTATAAAAATTCCAGCGCACATTTGTAGCGCATTATTAAATGGTAATAAATTTTATATTGATTCATGTTGAAATGGTAGACAGCTTGTATGAAATTGATCTCTAAAAACACAATAAAGATGAAAAGAATAAATGGATCAGCGTTGTGTAAATATTATTATATGTTGTAATAAGAAACATTTTTACATAATACATTTTTATATTAAAATACTGTGTTTTTGTTTGTGAAATAGCATATTATAGTTCTTATGCCATGACTAATTGAGGTGACATATTGTATGGACAGTGTTCTGCAGTTTGTGGTTGGCATCTATAACAAATGGCAGGTAGTGATATTTTGCATGTTAAAGTCCTTGTTACAATTATTACAATTAATGGCTAGTTGTTTATATGAAATATGCCAACTTCTTTGTATTTTATATCATATCATATATAAGCATAAAGATAAATTTGAATTCCTGTGATTTACAGGTGTTTATCACTAACATGCCCCATGAGCATTTATTTGGCAAGGCTGTTAATTTAACACAATATATTAATATCTTCTTGTGTGCCCTTTTCCATGGGCTTATTATCAAGAAACTCTTGAAAGTAACTAACAGAATATTTATCATTGAATTGAAGTCAGTTTAACTTTGTCTCCAGATATTTTCATTTTAATCAAATGCCTTGGTCTCATTACCCCCAAGTACATGAAGTATACTTTGGTATATCTGCCTCCCCTTTTTCTTAAGACTAAGTCTCAAAAATGGGTTTGATATTCAAAAATGATCCAAGTATTTTTAAAAAGTTGTTAATTTTGTAACAAGATAGTACAACCATTGTTGGCTCCCACTTGCCTGGATCGGCCTTGGAGCTCCGTCATTAATCAGTACATTTTCCCGTCGCCATGGCTGGACCATTGTAGTCAAATAAAGAACTGTAATTATAGGAAAATTACATGGTGTATAATACCTGCAGTTGTTACTTTGCTGATGAATGATTTTGATTAAACCATTACAATAATCATTTAAAGATACAGACCTGTGTAAAAGGGTAGGTGGTCCTATCAAATTTTGGTCCTACTCTCTATTGATTTATATGGTGACCTAATTACAATTATTTTCCATATTATTTATACACAGTCAGGGCCAGTAAGGTCCGTAAGGAAAGGGGACCATAATTTCATTTACACCGGTGTGAAAGAAATGATGGTCCCCCAGGGATTATGGTCCCCTTTCTTAACGGCCCTTACTGGCCCCGATTGCGTATAAGATAATGAGGGAAAGAGTTGTATTTAGGTCACCATATAAATCAATGGAGAGTAGGACCATAAGTTGATAGGACCTCCTGCCCTTTTACACCTGCTCTGTATTAGCACGTCATGTTAACTCATTAATTAATAGGCGAGATGTTCACAATTTGGAAATTAGAATGGAGAATAAAGATGTAATTCAAAAGGGTGGTCCAATAAAGACGTATTTTTAAAAATCCGAAGATATACACGACGTCAACAACAGTAAATAAAAGAAATGAACCTAATGAGTTAATAATTAAAATGAAATTCAGTTTAGTGTGATAATAGCTAATTTTGTTAATAAACTTTAAACTGTTTAGTACAGGTCGACTGAAAATAAGAGTAATCCTCTAATTTTTGAATTTTCTAACGATTTCTAGATCATAGAACAAGTGTTTTTTTATGATTGCATTTAGGAAAATCATGATGTTTCTATGTCGGTATGCAAAACAAGAGGGTTGAACTTTTGGGTCACCCTGTGGACTGTACCATAAACCAAGCTACCATAGACTAGACATTCCAGTTCATAAACTTGTCTGTACTTACAGTTCATTTAAATCCATCATTTTAAAACTGAAAACTCAGTAACAACAGTCAATTTTTTGAAATAAATAATTAATGAGTGAATTGATGCTTAAAAATGATTTCTATCATAAAAAAATACCAATAATACAAAACGGAAGTACGTTTTATCTAGATGGAGACCATATCTTTAAAGAGTTATTACGCGTGGTCTGTTTCGTTGATAGTAATTGAAATGTCAATTTGCAGCAACATTGACCCCAATTAAGTCTCAATAATGAGTATTTTATTGAAGCAAGGGCTTCCCAATGACATTTTTACCTCAGGGCTAAATTGCAAGCTAGTTTTCTCCCAGAGAAAGCTATAGAACAGGCTTGGGAGTTAGGAACACGAGACACGATGACATTTTATGTTTATTACCGATTCGTTCAAAGTAAGCGAGGTACATGCCCCTGTACATGCAAAATGAAATACAAGGGAGCTACGCTTTTTTAGTGATATTTGAAAATAATTTTTATATTAATCCTTACGTTAAAAGCTTTCAATCCTTTGTTATCTCGTAATTCTGTATTTCCCATGATCTGTAATCCGGTCTCGTAGAAATATAGCATGTTCATTGAGACCGAGATAAATAAATAATGCATGACTCTGATCTGATAGAGATACCAACATTTCTTCACGCTGTACGGGTTTCCTCATGAAGACCAGCAACAATGCAGTGAGAGAAATTTTGTCCCCGTTCAATGGCTTATTTTCTACCTTCTATATGGCACTTACTGGCCCTGGTTGACTAATAATTAATTTCAAATATATGTCACAAGACATTAAAATGCTTACACTTATGAACACTGCCAGCATCCAAAATAAACTTGCATCAACTGTTTTTAGATTTTGGTCCAGGAGAAATATTATTAATACATAATTAATCACTATGCAATAACAATTCATATTTTATTAGAATATATTTATATTGATTTGAACTGACGGTGTCTCATAAGCCGATTCGGCTGGCTCTGATTTTTATACTTGTACTTAATGTTTTTTATACTATGTTGTATTTAATTGTATATGTCACAGGTGACCCTTAATAAACTATTTTAAACTTAAACTATAAACTAATGATGGAAAGATATTCCATTGTATTACTTTATCAATGGAAAGGGGGACGCTAATTGAATAAGACAAAATTACTGATCGTAGCATGGCAACAATCATGAAAAGATCTATGTACCCTTTTAAATTCTGATGAATTTTACTTTCTATTCTCTGCTTCCACTTTAATTCCATTAAGCGACTTTTTGAGCTTTCCACGATAACCTTTGTTTTGATTGTCATCGCGACTGATCCTGTTATTAAATTCAGCCACAATCGGAGAGCCGAAATATACAGAGAAAAATGTTCTTGATTTTATTATATTACTTCCTGCTCATAATACAAAGTATCTCGAAAACAAAGTATCATGTTTTATATTAGTGTAAGTGCCTTAACCATCGAATGAATATTAAATACATAGATCAGGATAACTTCAGTGTACTTTTCTTTCTTATTAGAAAAGTAAAGTTTGATGAATGAGAAGAACGACATATTCGTTTTGTATCGAGATATTATGTAGCCCTCCCCCTTTCATAAACATACACAGTTTTTACTGGATGTGAAAATAGATACCATTGTGAGGTCGGACTCTCACATCTCTTAACAATTTCATGTTTCGTACGCCAGTAGCATTGCAAAAGGCATTACATGACAAAATGTCAACACAAGTTGTAATTTGTTACAGACGCCAACCGCCGAACACCGTCCATAAAATGTTGAAGACTATAACCCCGGATTATAACACATCTAGTGGTGACATAACAAAACACCTTATCATTATACAGTGCGTATAAAAACAAAACAAACTGTAATCTCAGAAAAGATCAAGACCTGCGATAACAGCATCAATTTCATTCAATATACCATAAAGACATGTGTCTTATCTTTCCAATGGTACATGTAAGGCATTCGTTGACATTGGGCCATGGTTGTCCAAATAATCATTCCTTTTGCATAGTGAGCCAAAATTAGCCTGGGGCCAAGTTTTAAACACCGCAAAAGTGCACTAGGCAAGATGCTCAAGGAAGAAACCACAAAACCAGTAATGGCAGCATCAATTTCGTTCAATATACCATAAAGACATGTGTCTTATCTTTCCAATGATAAGTCATCCATTAACACTGGGCAATGGTTGTCCAAATAATCATTCCTTTTGCATAGTGGGCCAAAATTAGCTTGGGGCCAAGTTTTAAACACCTCAAAGTGCACTGGGCAAGGTACTCTTTACCATAAAGACATATGTCTTCTCTTTCCAATGGTAAGTCATTCATTGACATTGGACCATGGTTGGCCGAATAATCATTGCTTTTGCACAGTTGGGCAAAAATCAGCTGTGGGGACTACTAGATATAGTAAGTTTCAAACATTGCAAAAGTCAGTGCACAGGGGCAAGATGCTATTAGAAAGTGTGGCAGGTTAATTGTTACTTATACTCTTGCAACATTACGTCCCCTCCATTTTGCCACAGCTTCTTTGCACACAGAGATGGGCTCATCTCTCCATGGCATGCTAGGCTCAGCTGTGAATCAGGCGGAAACAGCAGTCTGTTGGTGATTCTTTCTCGAGGCGTTGCAGTGTTTAGTGGTGGAATGGTCGATACTTTGCTCCTGAGATAGCCCCAAACGAAAATGTCATCACACAATTCAAGTCAGGAAAACTTCCATTAGCACCTAGCCATTGCTCTGATTTTTCGGTGTCTAAAACTTGGTCCAGAGCTGACTTTGAACCAACTGTGCAAAAGGAGTGATTTTTCGCCCAACCATGACCACATGTGAGTGAATGACATACCATTGCAAAGAAAGGGGACGTGGCTTCATGGTACGTTGAATGAAATCGATGCAGTCATCACTGGTTTTGTGGTTTTACGAGAGAAAGGTTATTGCGTTTTTTGATACACCCTGTACATATTATTTTGGTTGAACAAATCT